TGACAGGAACTACTACGACCAGACTTAAAACTTTTCATCTGCTATGCCGAGTGTAATTTAATGACATGTTTACTAACTTGAAACATGGCACGTTATTTACACTTTACACACCAACGTGTGGCACCCTACAATATTGTCATTCTCGGTTGCTTTCGCGATTCTGGAAATAAACGAAGAAATCGAAAGTTGTGATAAATTCTAAAGAAACAACAATCGGCAAACCTTGGCAAATTCCGTTACCCTATATATGCCTATGTGAGCAGATTGATAGATTGATGGATTTGTGCGAGACATCTTTAATTCTAGAAAAAGACATTGACGATGGAAATTTGTACCATATTAATTGAATAAATACACCATGTTTATTGATTTATTTTTTCGGTAGAAATTGCACTATGTATATATATTGCAAGTTGTGATTAATTACTGTTTGTTTAACTCCAGTGGCATACACATTTCATGCATATTTAAGGCGATTGTAAAATGATTTTTCTGATTAAAATAAAGAATCAAAGAGATTTTAAATAGATGTAAGAATTATAAGGCTTTGCTATAAATCCAGGGTAAGATCATTGGTTGGTATACGAATGTTTCCGCTGAGCCCCGGTGTGTTGAAATTTTTGTAAGTACTGTAACTGTAAAGTTATATTTACAAGTATCATTTGGACAGAAAGAGATAAAATATTTTATGGAACAGAGATGGTTTAGCCATTCCATAACATTTTATATGTCTTTGTTTTTTTCTTCTCAAATTGATAAATATGGGTCAAATCATATGTCATGATTGGCACATTCAAAAATGTATAAATAGAAATACTGACACCGGCTATATAATATAGGACAAAATTCGTTCAAATACTAATATTTTAGCAGTTTTGAATTTCACATTTGCCAAAAAATTAAAACAAACATATATATTTAAATAACGAGGTGCATCTTTTTTTTTTTCTATATTTGTTTTATATAATTTCTGTGTAATTTAGTCCTTGATCAATAAATCCAGGCCCTTTACTATATATATTAATCGATTCGTCACAATTCTGGTGTATATTTACATCAGGAAAATTTTAGTGACTCGGCAGTAACCGGAACACACCCTAATGACACTTTTAACTTAACCCCTGAAAAAACAAGCATTCTGTGAGTATTGCCTGGCAATACATAGTCCCCTACCAGTTAAAAATTCATTGTACTGGAACAAAATGCTAACTTGATTTATAACTTGTCATGGTGTAAACTATATAACAAATATCAAGTCAATATCTTCAAGCATGACGAAAAAAAGTGAATTTTCTAAGTTCAAGGACCATAACTCTGCACAAAATCGTCAGACCGGAACAAAATTTGAAACTGATCAGTAACTTGCCATGATAAAACAATACACCAAATATCATATCCATATCTTCAAGCACAAAGAAAATAAAATGCTTCGCTGGGCGCAGCTTGATACGACCGCAGAGGTCGAACCCTGAACAGTTGGGGCAAGTATGGACACAACATTCAAGCTTGATACAGCTCTGAATTTGGATTGTGATTAAATATTTGACACAGCATAGGTTTCTGACACAGAAAGAATGTGGTCTAAGAACTTCAATTTTTTTAATTTACCTATTATGGTCCAATGTCCAAAATCAAAATACATGGTTAGATTCAGCATATCAAAGAACCCCATATATTCAATTTTTGTTGAAATCAAACAAAGTTTAATTTTGGACCCCAACTTGGACAAACTTGAAAACTGGTCCCATAATCAAAAATCTAAACACATGTTTAGATTCAGCATATCAAAGTACCCGAAGAATTCAATTTTTGTTAAAATCAAACTAAGTTTAATTTTGGACCCTTTGGACCTTAATGTAGACAAATTTAAAAAACGGGACCCAAAATTAAAAATCTAAAAACACGGTTAGATTTGGCATATCAAAGAACCCCAATTATTCAATTTTTGATGAAATCAAACAAAGTTTAATTTTGGACCCTTTTGACCTCAATATGAACCAATTTGATAGCGGGCCCACAAATAAAAAATCTAAATACATGGTAAGATTCAGCATATCAAAGAACCCCATATATTCAATTTTTGTTGAAATCAAACAAAGTTTAATTTTGGACCCCAATTTGGACCAACTTGAAAACTGGTCCCATAATCAAAAATCTAAACACATGTTTAGATTCAGCATATCAAAGAACCCCAAAAAATCAATTTTTGTTAAAATCAAACTAAGTTTAATTTTGGACCCTTTGGACCTTAATGTAGACCAATTTATAAAACAGGACCCAAAATTAAAAATCTAAATACACGGTTAGATTTGGCATATCAAAGAACCCCAATAATTCAATTTTTGATGAAATCAAACAAAGTTTCATTTTGGACCCTTTTGACCTCAATATGAACCAATTTGATAGCGGGCCCACAAATAAAAAATCTAAATACATGGTAAGATTCAGCATATCAAAGAACCCCATATATTCAATTTTTGTTGAAATCAAACAAAGTTTAATTTTGGACCCCAATTTGGACCAACTTGAAAACTGGGCCAAAAATCTAAAATCTAAATACATGTTTAGATTCAGCATATCAAAGAACCCCATATATTCAATTTTTGTTGAAATCAAACAAAGTTTAATTTTGGACCCCAACTTGGACCAACTTGAAAACTGGGCCCATAATCAAAAATCTAAACACATGTTTAGATTCAGCATATCAAAGAACCCCAAGAATTCATTTTTTGTTAAAATCAAACTAAGTTTAATTTTGGACCCTTTGGACCTTAATGTAGATCAATTTAAAAAACGGGACCCAAAATTAAAAATCTAAATACACGGTTAGATTCGGCATATCAAAGAACCCCAATAATTCAATTTTTGATGAAATCAAACAAAGTTAAATTTTGGACCCTTTGGACCTCAATGTGGACCAATTTAAAAACGGGGCCCAAAATCCAAAAACTTAATACACGGTTAGATTCAGCATATTAAAGAACCCCAAGAATTCAAGAATAAAACCCCATTGAAATTGATCAAGAAATAAGCAATTTATACGAAGTATCTTCTTTTGCACAATACTGTGCAATTGAATATTTCTTGCTATTGCGCAATACTGTACAATTGACAATTTCTTACTATTGCGCAATATTGTGCTATTGGATATTTCTTGCTATTGCGCAATACTGTGCAATTGAAGATTTCTTGCTATTGCGCAATACTGCGCAATTGAAGATTTCTTGCTATTGTGCAATACTGTGCAATTGAAAATTTCTTGCTATTGCACAATACTTATTATATAATAATTTACACATCCTGTTTGGTGTGTATCTCCTACCATATCATTATTATTTGCTTTTAAATATAAATCAGAAATAACCAACTTAAAATGGAAAATTTTAAAAGGAAAAAAAAAGGAAAAAAAAAAAAAAAAAAAAAAAAAAAAATCCCCCCCCCCCCCAAATTTTTTGAACCCCCTTATGATTCATCACCCCCAAACTCAATCCCAGCCTTCCCTTTGTGGTATGGTACCTTGCAGTACAATTTCAGAGAGATCCATACACTTGAACACAAGTTATTGTCTGGAAACTAGAAAAATGCTTATTTTTGGCCCCTTTTTGGCCCCCAATTCCTAAACGTTTCGGGCAATTACCCCCAAACTCAATTCCAGCTTTCCCTTTGTGATATGGAACCATGTAGTACAATTTCAGAAATATCCAAACACTTACACACAAGTTATTGTCATGAAACTAGAAAAATGCTTGTTTTTTGCCCCTTTTTTGGCCCCTAATTCCTAAAATTTTGAGGCAATTACCCCCAAAATCAATTACAGCCTTCCCTTTGTGATATGGAACCTTGTGGTACAATGTCAGAGAGATCCATACACTTACACACAAGTTATTGTCTGAAAGTTACAAAAATGCTTATTTTTGGCCCCTTTTTGGCCCCTAATTCCTTAACTGTTGGTACCATAACCCCCAAAATCAATCCCAACCTTCCTTTCGTGGTATTGAACCTTATGGTGAAATTTCATGGAGATCCATTCACTTAAACTAAAGTTAGAGTGCGAAAACCAATGTGTCTTCGGACGACGCCGGACGACGACGACGACGACGACGACGACGACGACGACGACGACGACGACGCCAACGTCATACCAATATACGACCAAAAAATTTTTAATTTTTGCAGTCGTATAAAAAGTGTGGAAAACTGATTTGCTGGACTGACGGATGGACAGACAGACAGACGGACGGAGTGCAAACCTTAAGTCCCCTTCGACTTCGTCGGTAGAGGACTAATAAAATAATGTCACTTACTATTTTAAAACGTTGTAGTATAATTAATTCTGGGCCGATTATCATTTATTATGCATCAGTCGATTCGTTTAAATAAGTTTTTTAATGAATAAAGGTCAACCGAAGCGATTGAAATAAGCAAATGTGTTTTCCGACAGGTATTGTTAACCTGTCTCGATAAAAACCATGTGATTGATAAGAAGTATTTCTGGTCACTTTATGACCGCGGCATCGCAGATAGTCACAAAAGGAAATTAACAATAGAATACTAATTAGAAAGTTTGCATTCATTTTCTACAGGGATCCCTGGGTTATAAATAAGTGCTTATTAATAGTTGTAGTTCCTGTCAATATAATACTTCCATGGTTAAATTTACTTAAATTAAATGATTTTCAGGACAAAATAGTACAGCATCCGTTTTTTTAAAAACATTTTACCATGTCATGACATGATTTCTCATTGCTAGCTGTTGGTAACATAAACTATGTACAAGGAACACAAAATAACAACCTACCATTTTTGAGTGTTTTACCTGTATGTTATTTAAATACAGAAAAAGGTTTACAATGCCTGACTAAGACAGTTATAAAAAATCTAAAACTGGCCAAAAGCTATCTCATTTATGAAAAATAACAAAGATTTGGGGAAAGGCAATACCACAGTTTTCTCTTTTCCAATGGCCCTAATATTGAGATTAAAAGACAGAAGTACAAGACCTTTCTTCCTCAAGATTGACAGACTGATCTGGAGATATTGATTCTTTGTCTTTTTCCTCATCATCTTCTCTCTTCCCATCAGACTTATCATCATCTGCTTGATCTTTTCCTTTCTTTTTTCCCTTTTTCTTCTTTTTCTTTTTAGACTTTGGTGGGGTTGACTCTGCAGTGGAAGGCTTGTCATCTTTGTCTGCCTTTAGGTCCTCTGCTTCATCTGCGGCTGCCTCTTCAATTTTCTTACAATCTTCAACCAATACTTTTTTACCTGCTTCCTGCAAATGTATATTTTCATATCCTGAAATTTTCCAGTTTCTACTTTATAAACTTGCATATATACCATAGAACTGGAAATTTCGATGGAACAAAATTTTAGTGATTGGAGGTAAAAATGTGTACCATTTATCTGCATATTTTCAATGTTTGCAATTGGCAACATACAATAAACTAGAGGCTCTCAAGAGCCTGTGTCGCTCACCTGACTCTACTTTGGTTTTAGATATCATGTAAGGATAGATAAAAATCATAACAGATACCCAAATAATGTTTGAGGTCAAATTTGGTTTAATATTGGTCCCGTTATTCAATAAAATATCCTGGTGGCCATTTTGAACAGTAAATTAGCAACAAAGAAGCAACACTTGGTCAGCACCTCATAAGGAACATTCATGCCATGTTTGGTTTCATTCCATTCAGTGGTACTCTAAATGAAGACATTTGTATGTATTTCCCATAGGGTCCTATGTTAAACTAAGTCCCCCGCTGGCGGCCATCTTGGATGATGGATCGGCTTCAAAGTAACAACATTTGGTCAGCATCTCATAAGGAACATTCATGCCATGTTTGGTTTCATTCTATTCAGTTGTACTCTAAAAGAAGACATTTGTATGTATTTCCTATAGATTCCTATGTTAAACTAAGTCACCCACTGGCGGCCATCTTGGATGATGGATCGGCTGCAAAGTAACAACACTTCAACACTTGGTCAGCACCTCATAAGGAACATTCATGCCATATTTGGTTTCATTCCATTCAGTGGTTCTCTAAAAGAAGACATTTGTATGTATTTCCCATAGGGTCCTATGTTAAAATATGTCATCCGCTGGCAGCCATCTTGGATGATGGACCGACTGCAAAGTAACAACACTTGGTCAGCACCTCATAAGGAACATTCATGCCATGTTTTGTTTCATTCCATTCAGTTGTTCTCTAAAAGAAGACATTTGTATGTATTTCCCACAGGGTCCTATGTTAAACTAAGTCCCCCGCTGGTAGCCATCTTGGATGATGGACCGACTGTAAAGTAACAACTCTTGGTCAGCATCTCATAAGGAACATTCATGCCATGTTTGGTTTCATTCCATTCACTGGTTCTCTAAAAGAAGACATTTGTATGTATTTCCCGTAGGGTCCTATGTTAAACTAAGTCCCCCACTGGAGACCATCTTGGATGATGGATCGGCTTCAAAGTAACAACACTTGGTAAGTACCTCAAAAGGAACATTCAGGCCATGTTTGATTTCATTCCATTCAGTGGTTCTCTAAAAGAAGACATTTGTATGTATTTCCCATAGGGTCCTATGTTAAACTAAGTCCCCCGCTGGCGGCCATCTTGGATGATGAATCGGCTTCAAAGTAACAACACTTGGTATAAAGCACCTCATAAGGAACATTCATACCATTTTTTGTTTCATTCCATTCAGTGGTTCTCTAAAAGAAGACATTTGTATGTATTTCCCATAGGGCCCATATTAAACTAAGTCACGCTGGCGGCCATCTTGGATGATGGATCGTCTTCAAAGTAACAACACTAGGTCAGAACCTCATAAGGAGCATTCATTGAATATTTGGTTTCATTCCATTCAGTGGTTCTCTAAATGAAGACATTTGTATGTATTTCCCATAGGGTCCTATGTTAAACTAAGTCCCCCGCTGGCGGCCATCTTGGATAATGGATCGGCTTCAAAGTAACAACATTTGGTCAGCATCTCATAAGGAACATTCATGCCATGTTTGGTTTCATTCTATTCAGTGGTTCTCTAGAAGTTCAAAATGTAAAAAGTTAATGACGACAACGACGACGACGGACGCCAAGTGATGAGAAAAGCTCACTTGGCCCTTTGGGCCAGGTGAGCTAAAAAGTTAATAAAGAAATTTCAACTGCTACTATGACAAAGTAACCATACAACTATCACTATGATTTATCAATTGGAAATGATGCTAAATGATTCAAAGGGAGATCACATTCCTACACACACAATAAAATGATCTGCAGGGCACAGCTTGATACTACCTTAGAGGTCGAACCCTGAACGGTTGGGGCAAGTATGGACACTACATTCAAGCTTGATACAGCTCTGAATTTGGATTGTGACAAAATCCAAATTCTAAAGACATGGTTAGATTCAGCATATTAAAGAACCCCAGGAATTCAAGACTTGAAGAGTTCACCTGACAATACACTTGTAATTAAATTTCCGGTCATTGACCACGGTATTGATTTATGACATTCTTTTTTTTATCATCATGATAAATACATGTAATTAGTTATGCATTGTTATATTTTATGACAAATTATTCATACTGTAATCATACATTTATGGGCTGGGTGTGCACAAAGAAGGGATTACGACTTAGTGATCAACTCAAAACTACTCAACCGGCTTCTTTAATCTTTTTGTATGTTATCTACAACAGCTTGGACAATAACACCCAAAATCAAACCCAACCTTCCTTTTGTGGTATGGAACCTTGTGCTACAATTTCATAGAGATCCATTCACTTATACTCAAGCTATTGTCTGGAAACAAAATGTCATCGGATGACGAAGACGCAGACTACGACAACGCCGACTATGACAACGCAGACAATGTCATAACATTATACGAACACAAATAAAAAGTCAGTGCTTTGCAACATAAATAGGCAAGAACTAAGTTAGTTAAAACAGAATTACTTCAATGTGCCTAAAATATATACATGTATATGACTGGCCAGTTAAATTTGTTTTTGCTTTATATATATTTTCTCCAGCCTTATTAGTGAGGCTGATAAAAAGGTAAAAGGTGCAATGATTTTATATATTATTCTGGAGAGCATCTAAGGTAAGCAGATTAATTTTGCATTTTATTTTAAAAATTGAGTTTAATACATATCTTTACTTACACTATGAACTTGGTGAAATATAAACCGACACCAGCTCTGAATCAGTCGAAGCAAGTTTATGCGACTTTCATTTTCCTCATTTTCTGACAAAACAAGTCCTAAAGCTGATGCTTCTGGTATGGTACGGAAAGCTCGTAGAAAATTTGTTGCTTGGCATGTCTGGCCTTTCTGTGAATCTAACATATGGAACAAAAATCCCAATTCACAAGAAAGACAGAATTCCTTCTTGCATAAATGATTCAACAAGGCAACTCGCAATGGCTCTATATAGTACAAAACCTGCAAAATATATACATGACAAATTTCATTTTTGTTTATAAGATATAATTACTTTAAGTCATACTGAGTTTATTTCAATTCTCATACCCTCCCTGTCCACTCACAAAATGACCTTTGAGTGTTGGCCTCTCTTGTGATAACATAAAAGGTACCAATTTTTCTGCACCAGATGCGCATTTCGACAATCAATGTCTCTTCAGTGATGCTCGAGGCCAAAATATTTGAAAATCTAAAGCTTATTAAAAACATGGAGAGCAATAAACCAAAAAGGACAAAAAGTATAGCCAAAGCTGGGCAAGGAATTAGAGCTTTGCATGAGGGAGATACATTCCTTAATTTTAAATAATTTCCAAAATTTTGTAACAGCAAATTTTAATAACACAAAATCCGTATTTTAATGCCAGTACCGAAGTACTGGCTACTGGGCTGGTGATACCCTCGGGGACTCGTCTTAATCCTCTATTGGTTTGTATTAACATGAGCAACATGATGAGTGCCACATGTGGAGCAGAATCTGCTTACTCTTCCAGAGCACCAGAGATCACTCCCAGTTTTTGGTGGGATTCGTATTGCTCAGTCTTTTGTTTTCGATGTTGTGTTTTGAGTACTATTGTTTGTCCGTTTGTCTTTTTCTTTTTTAGCCATGGCGTTGTCAGTTTATTTTTCAACTTATGAGTTTGAATGTCCATTGGTATCTTTCGCCTCTCTTTGATATATGCATTAAATAAATGGGGAATGTGTCCATGGGACACAGATGATGCCCATGCTTGCATATAAAATTATAAAGGGACATAACTCAAGAACTGTAAAAGTGATGCTACTCAAATTTGTACTTGATCTGAGTTTTGTGGTAATAAGCATTATTATAAGTGTCATAACATTTAGTTGAGGCAAACTAAAGTTAGAGAATAGAAACGAATAGTTCAGCAATTTTTCCATTTGTAACGGGGCATAAATCTAGAACGGTAAAAGTGACACCACCAAAATTCAAACTTGATCTGTGTTTTGTGGTAATTAGCATTGTGTAGTTTCGTAACATTTGGTTGAGGCAAACTAAAGTTAGAGAACGGAAATGAAAAATTCAGCAATTTTTCCATTTGTAAAGGGCATAACTCTAGAACGGTAAAAGTGACGCCACCAAAATTCAAACTTGATCTGTGTTTTGTGGTAATAAGCATTGTGTATAAGTTTCATAACATTTGGTTAAGGCAAACTAAAGTTAGAGAACGGAAACCAATTTTGGGACGTACGTACAGACGGACAAGGGTAAAACTGAATGCTCCCTCTGCTACGGCGGGGGCATAACAAGGTCAAGGACAGATGAAGCCAGTCAGAAGGACCTTACTTTATTCCATACACCAAATACAGCTAATCTTTTACTTATAGTATCTGAGAAACAGGCCAAACCTCAAAAACTTAACATTGACAAATGGACCATGAAAATGAGGTCAAGTTCAGATGAAACCTGCGAGTTGAACATGTACACCTTTCAGTCATTCCACACACCAAATATAGTTGACCTATTGCTTATAGTATCTGAGGTATACGGACTTGACCACGAAAACTTAACATTGATCACTGATCCATGAAATGAGGTTGAGGTCAGGTGAGCCATGTCTGACGGATATATGTAGACCTTGCAAGCATCCAATATACCAAATATAGTTACCCTTTAACTCATAAGAAGGGAGTATTTCACAGCGACAAAACAACCAAAACAAGCATTCTGAGATTATTGCATGGCAATACATAGCCCTCTACAAGTTAAAAATTCATTGCACTGGAACAACTAACTTGATCTATAACTTGTCCTGGTGTTAACATGGTTAAACTATATAATGAATATCAAATCATAATATTCAAGCATGTCGGAGGACTATAACGCTGCAAAAAAATCATCTGAACCAAACAAAATTCAAACTTGATCTGTAACTAGTCATTGTAAAACTATATACCAAATACCAAATCAATATATTTGTGTATAATGAAAATAAATTGCTTCGGCAAGCGCAGCTGGATACGACCGCAGAGGTCCAACCCTGAACAGTTGGGGCAAAAATGGACACAATATTCGCGCTTGATACAGGTCTTAGATTGTAATTAAATATTTGACACATAAAAGGTTTCTGACACAGAATAACTGTAGTCAAAGAACTTAGAATTGATTATATGATTTGAATTTATATTCAATTTTTTGCTTTTGTGCAATACACTTTGCTGTTGCGAATTGACCCCCCCTCCCCCGACAAAAAAAAATAAAAAAATTTTACACTGCTTTTAAATTGTCTTAATTGTCTTAATTGTTCATTTACCATTACTTTATACATAATTTAAAAGCAGTGTAAGGGAGGTAATTCAAATGATGTATTAGAATTACCTCCCTTATACTGCTTTAAATTATGTTTTGAACTAAAGTATTTGTCCATTAACCAGGACACCCTTGTTTTTCCCCCTTTTTTGCCCCTAATTCCTAAAGGGTTTGAGCCATAACCCCCCAAAGCAAATCCTAACCATCCCTTTGTGGTATGGAAACTTGTGGTATAATTTCAGAGAGATCCATACACCGTTCCACAAGTTATTGTCTGGAAACTAGAAAAATGCTTATTTTTGGCCCCTAATTCCTTAACTGTTGGTACCAAAACCCCCAAAATCAATCCCAACCTTCCTTTTGTGGTATTGAACCTTATGGTAAAATTTCATAGAGATCCATTCACTTAAACTAAAGTTATTGTGCGAAAACCAATGTGTCTTCGGACGACGACGATGACGCCAACGTCATACCAATATACGACCGCAAAAATTTTTTTTGCGGTCGTATAAAAATGCAGAAAACTTATTACTTGCCTGAATTTTCTAAATCAAAAGAACATAACTCTGCACAAAATGATCAGATGGGAAAAAAATTCGAGCTTGATCTGTAACTTGTCATGGTAAACTATATACCAAATATCAAGCATGACGAAAAAAAGTGTGGAAAACTGATTACTTGCGTGAATTTTCAAAGTCCAAGGATTTCATAGAGATCCATTCACTTAAACTAAAGTTATTGTGCGAAAACCAATGTGTCTTCGGACGACGACGATGACGCCAACGTCATACCAATATACGACCGCAAAAATTTTTTTTGCGGTCGTATAAAAATGCAGAAAACTTATTACTTGCCTGAATTTTCTAAATCAAAAGAACATAACTCTGCACAAAATGATCAGATGGGAAAAAAATTCGAGCTTGATCTGTAACTTGTCATGGTAAACTATATACCAAATATCAAGCATGACGAAAAAAAGTGTGGAAAACTGATTACTTGCGTGAATTTTCAAAGTCCAAGGATCATAACTCTGCACAAAATCATCAGACCAGAACAAAAATCAAATAGAATCTGTAACTGGTCATGATAAAACTATATACCAAATATCAAATCAGTATCTTCAAGCATGAAGGAAAAAAGTGTGGAAAATTGATTTGCCGGACTGAAGGTCGGACAGACACTGCAGCTGAGACAGACAGACGGACGGAGTGCGAACCTGAACTTCGTCGATATGGGACTAAAAATATTCAAACAGTTGCTCAACCATGAAAAAAGGCAATAGATATATGACAGACAGGAAACTAAGTAAGATAAGAAAATAAGGCATTTGCACACAAGGTATGAAGCATCCAGGTCTTCTACCTCCTGAAATATTAAGCTTTATATACATGTAAAAATAGTTTATGCCATTGCTGCCGCTGGATTGTAATCTCTATGTCTTGCATTCTGCGACTTTCGACACATGCAGTCTTCACAATAGACTTGAATCTAAAGGCCCGAAGCTGAATTTTAAGAAGATTTTAGTTAGATTAAATTGGCCTGTGAAGATGATTTTAAAGGCCCAACAGTTTTATAAGCCTGGGCTGGTGGGCCTGTGGTTGAGCGGGAAGACTGCACATGCGAGACAAAAAGATCAAGGTTTAATGAATATTGATTAATATACTCATGATCTAAGAGACTGATCATTTTATTTCATTCAGGGGACCTGGAAGGAAAAATTGGAATTTTTCTACTTTTTTTTCCAAGTCCCACCTTGAAGGAAAATAAATTCAAGACCCCCTTCCAAAAGCCATGAATATTTCAACACCCCTTCGGGCTCCCTACAAATTTCTCAATACTTTAATACTGCCTGTTTCAGTACTGACCCCGTTATAGGTTCAAGGTTATATTAGCTTATTGGCCCCGAGACTAAAGGGTTGAGGACCAATACATATGATCATGAATCTTCGATTAAAAAAACAAGAAACTTACTATTAAATACACTGTAGGTACAGGAAATCACATTTCAGTCAATTGAACTTGCCTCTTCCCAGTCACAACGAATTGTTTTGTCAATTATATTGTTGTGATTTCTGATTTCCAGTCCAGGTACTATGCTAATGCAATTCTATTTATCTAGCAAACATAAAGTACTTGGGGAGAATATTCAGACATTATGCTTTTTTGTCGACGGAATGATGATAAATTGAAAGTTCTACTCGGAAAGGTTGTGAAATGTTTCCGCAAATCATAACAACAAGAGTGCACACGCTGAAATGTCTCACCTGTTTTGCTGACCATTGATTTTATGTTGAAAGTCTTAAAGATAAAGGTTTTACTACAAGTATCACATAAACTTAACATTTTTAAAGATCCATGACAATAAGGTCAAGGTCAGATAAAAACTGTCATACAGACATGTACACCTTACAATTATTCCATACACCAATATATAAATAACACATAGCTGAAAGGGTGATAGAGCAGATTGTTACCCCGAGAAAACATTGTCAACTGAGGCGAAGCCAAGGTTGACAATGTCTTTTCGAGGGGTAACAATCTGCTCTATCACCCTCTCAGATATGTGTTATTTAATTTATTATACTGAATGTTCTGTTATTACTGTCGATTAAATTTCAAACTCAAAGTAATAAACTATGACGTCTTGTACATAACAACCATCCGTATTTAATAAAGCGCACACTTGATCAAGCGTCTCTGTGAAGGGTAATAAAGTATTTGCCATAGGATAGAGTCGTATTTAATAAAGCGCACACTTGATCAAGCGTTTCCGTGGAGGGTAATAGAGTATTTGCCAAAGGATAGAGTCGTATTTAATAAAGCGCACACTTGATCAAGCGTCTCCATGAAGGGTAATAGAGTAAATTAACACCCTCGTATTAGCCAATCAAAATATGGCATTTTGACGTGAAGTATAATAAATATAAATGACCCATTGCTTATGGTAATTAAAAAACAGACAAAAACACAAAAACTTAGTGTTAACCAATGAAGCATGGAAATGAGGTCAAGGTCAGATGATATTGGCTAGACAGACATGTACACCATACAATCATTCCATACACCAATTATAGTTGACCTATTGCTATTAGTATTTGAAAAACAGACCAAAACACAAAAACTTAACATTGACCAATGAACCATGAAAATGAGGTTAAGGCCTAGGTCAGATGACACCGGCTAGACAGACATGTTCACCTTACAATCATTCCATAAACCAAATAGAGTTGACCAATTGCTTACAGTACTTGAAAAACAGACCAAAACACAAAAAATTAACAATGACAAATGAACCATGAAAATGAGGTCAAGGTCAGATAAAACCTGCCAGTCTGACATGTACCCCTTACAATCATTCCATACACTACATATAGTTGACCTGCTGCTTGTAGTGTCTGAGAAACGGACCTAATCACGTAACTTTAACCTTGATCACTGATCCATGAATTGAGGTTGAGGTCAGGTTAACCCTGTCTAATGAACATGTAGACGTTGCAAGGAACCCATTTACCAAATATAGTTATCCTAATACTCATAATAAGTGAGAAATTCACATGACAAAAAAACTGGAATTTTTTTTCAAGCAGTCACTAAACAATGAAAATGAGGTCAAGGACAATAGGCACATGACAGACTGAAACTTTGTAACATAAGGTATCTGCATACAAGGTATGAAGCACCGCTGGATAGTAATACCTATGTCTCGCACTTTCGTCACAGGCGAGACAAAAACGGCTCATAATTAAATTTTCTCGTCATTAAAATTGTAAAATGTGTCTTCCATTTTCTTTTAATAATGTCTATTCCAGGTTAAGATACATCCAACATAAAATTTTGGAAGCGAAAATTTGCCACCGGAAGTGAAAATCCTGTATTGCCTTTCGGCCTTTTTTCCGTATCGGACTGGGCCAAAAAGTAATATTTACTCATGATTTATGTCAACAGGGCAACGTCAACAGTATTACACATGCTGATTTATCCATAATAGGACTGATTTGCTCTTATCATTTAATAAATATAAATAGTCATACCTGCCAACCTCTGAAACCTTCAAAGAGGGAGATCTCCCTCTCAGCTATGACAGCTGAGGGGGAGCTTTTGCGCGAACGACATTTTCAAGTGAAATATATGACGTGTTCATTTATTCATTTACGAAACACATATAAGAGTTAATAGATATACTTTGTTTCTTTTAATATGGTTATTTCCTACAGAAGGTGTGTTGTTTGTTTCTTTCCTATTACATCATCTTTGACATTAGAATTCCATCAGGACAACATTTCACCCCACATATCTCTGTTAAAAGAGAGCAATCATGTTGTCACAGCTTTTTTTTTTTTATTAAGTTCTTTGAATATTGTTCAATACATACCTTATAAATTTAGTTATAAACATTGAATAGAAGTATAGATCTTTTAAGTGATTTTTAAAATATAATTATTTTTTTTGTCTTAAGGCATACAAAATCTTTTAAACGCCATCCTTTTATGATTCTTTGTTTAATTTGTATTTAGTTTATATTATTTTATCATTTCACATTGTTTTAAGAAGGGTAACTTAAAACAGGATTAAACAGGGGAAGTAATCCCGAAATTTCCTTGAAATGTTTTTTAATAACACAAAGCTTGAAGCAAAAGTCGTTAATGATTGTTAATTAGTACTATGTTTGACACCCAAGCTGTCAAGTAAAGCCATTTAATTTCACATGGTCTGTGATTTACAGGTAAAAACAACCCTCATCAGTGACACAAAAACGTAATTAATGTTGACTTGTCATTCAAGGTTGAAATATCCAACAGCGATTTCCCGAATTTCGCCATTTGAGCGGGAGTCTCCCGCTCAAACCGGGAGGGTTGGCAGGTATGTAAATAGTACACGAGGAACGAAGTTGCATTCATATAAATATTCAATGAGGTATGAAATGGTAAGGGTACGAAATGATTAAAATCATGACAAGAAAACAATGCCACCTATATCACAGTTTGTTAGCTTTTTTGCTTTGCTCAAGGATGTTTATTAGTTATAAGTCCTTGCTTTGCTTAAGTACCACATGAAGGTAGTTCTCCGTTTCATGAAGAAACTTCTTTTATAATTATGTTTAATAAACAAATTCCGATTTTATAATCGTACAAGCTTTCTGTGAATGATTAAAATACTAATGAATACAGGATATCCCTGCTTCTACGAAGTCCGGAATTTCCACCATGACATCACTAGGTTGGATATATTTGGAATATTTCGTAATACTGATGTTTCCAGATTGTAAAAGAAACGTTAATAGTGAAAGGAAGAGCTTGAGATACGATAATTTCATGAGAAACAGAAAACAGAAGGAAAATGTGTAACACAGTGTTTAAAGTCAATCTGTTGAAGCCGTCTTTTCCCAAAAAATAATAAAATGCTTCGCTGGGGCGCAGCTTGTTACGACCGCAGAGGTCGAACCCTGAACAGTTGGGGCAAGTATGGACACAACATTCAAGCTTGATACAGCTCTGAATTTGGATTGTTATTAAATATTTGACACAGCATAGGTTTCTGACACAGAAAGAATGTGGTCTAAGAACTTGAATTTTTTTAATTTACCTATTATGGTCCAATGTCCAAAATCAAAATACATGGTTAGATTCAGCATATCAAAGAACCCCATAAATTCAATTTTTGTTAAAATCAAACAAAGTTTAATTTTGGACCCCAACTTGGACCAACTTGAAAACTGGGCCCATAATCAAAAATCTAAACACATGTTTAGATTCAGCATATCAAAGAACCCCAAGAATTCAATTTTTATTAAAATCAAACTTAGTTTAATTTTGGACCCTTTGGACCTTAATGTAGACCAATTTAAAAAACAGGACCCAAAATTAAAAATCTAAATGCACGGTTAGATTTGGAATATCAAAGAACCCCAATAATTCAATTTTAGATGAAATCAAACAAAGTTTAATTTTGGACCCTTTTGACCTCAATATGAACCAATTTGATAACGGGGTCCACAAATAAAAAATCTAAATACATGGTTAGATTCAGCATATCAAAGAACCCCATATATTCAATTTTTGTTGAAATCAAACAAAGTTTAATTTTGGACCCCAATTAGGACCAACTTGAAAACTGGGCCAAAAATCAAAAATCTAAATACATGTTTAGATTCAGCATATCAAAGAACCTCATATATTCAATTTTTGCTAAAATCAAACAAAGTTTAATTTTGGACCCTTTGGAGCTTAATGTAGACCAATTTGAAAACTTGACCCAAAATTAAAAATCTAAATACACTGTTAGATTCGGCATAACAAATAAATAAATGTGATCAAAGATTTTACAAATCTAATGCGCCATACTGTGCAATTAAAGATTACTTCTTGAAATTTTTCAATATTTGAAATTTGAAAAAAAAATAATATTTGAAGAATAATTCTTTTTAATTTCTGAAATCTGAAATGAGAAAAAATTGACCCCCCACAATTTCTTTTTATCCCCCCCCCCTTTTTTCCCCCAAAAAATTCTTTCCCTCAAGATATGGTCATAATCTCAATTCAAATTTCCAATGGAGTTGGCAAACATAATTACCCATTTAAATTTACCATAGTGCTAACTTAATCAATTTTATAATAGAATTAAAAATATAGTGTCAAATCTTTCATATGGATTTTTTTGTAAAAAAAAAAGATGCAACATTTGCAGATATTTTTACTGGTCTTCCTTTATAAATATGCATTTCTTTAAACATAATTTAAAAGCAGTGTAAGGGAAGTAACCAAAACGTTGTATTTGGATTACCTCCCTTACACTGTTTTAAATTATCTTTATTGTTCATCAACCATTACTTAATACATAAATTAAAAGCAGTGTAAGGGAGATAATTTCAATGATGTATTTGATTTATCTCCCTTACACTGCTTTAAATTATGTTTTGTACTAAAGTATTTGTCTATTAACCAGGACAACCTTGTTTTTCCCCCTTTTTTGCCCCTAATTCCTAAACGGTTTGAGCCATAACCCCCCAAAGCAAATCCTAACCATCCCTTTGTGGTATGGAAACTTGTAGTATAATTTCAGAGAGATCCATACACCGTTCCACAGTTATTGTCTGGAAACTAGAAAATGCTTATTTTTTGCCCCTTTTTGGCCCCTAATTCCTTAACTGTTGGTACCATAACCCCCAAAAGCAATCCCAACCTTCCTTTTGTGGTATTTAACCTTATGGTCATATTTCAAAAAGATCCATTCACTTAAACTAAAGTTAGAGTGCGAAAACCAATGTGTCTTCGGACGACGACGCCGGACGACGACGACGACGCCGGACGACGACGACGACGACGCCAACGTCATACCAATATACGACCACAAATTTTTTTTGCGGTCGTATAAAAAAAAGACAAATTTTTAAAATACCGTGAGGGTTGGAAGAGGCCTTACAAATCGGATGATTTTGACTCCTGCCGGATGAATCACATGTATGATGTTGATGTTGTCTGCATAAAAAAAAAAAACTTAATGTAAGTTCACCTTTCAGTAAAAAAGGAAACCCAATAAATATTTTTTAGAAATTTTAATTCTGATATATCTCTTAATTATAAAAAAAAGTTTCTGCATGATACGCCCGTCGCTTTTTCAAAGAATAAGTTCAATAACTCCTCAATGTCATGTCAGAAATTTATAAAAAAAAAAAACTAAAGGGAGGTTATTTTAATAGAAATAAACCAGTCACCAAAGTTTCATGAAAACTGCTCAAAGAACTTTTGAGTTATTGTCTGAAAACTGGAAAATCCCCCTTTTTAAATGAATAAAACCCCATAACTCAGAAACATAAAATCTTAAATTTATAAAAATCAAAAGGGAACTCATGTCAATAGATATAAACAATTCACCAAAGTTTCATGAAAACTGCTCAAAGCGTTTTCGAGTTATTGTCCAACATGTTGACGACGGACGGACGGACGGACTGATGGACAACAGTATACCATAATACGTCCCGTAAACAGGCTTATAAAAAGTGCATATACAAAACAAATTGCCACTGTCAAGCATAAACAATTCACCAAAGTTTCATGAAAACTGCTCAAAGCGTTTTTGAGTTATTGTCCGACATGTTGACGACGGACGGACGGACAGACAGACTGACGGACAATAGTATACCATAATATGTCCCATAAACGGGTGTATAAAATGTGCATATACAAAACAAATTGCCACTGTCGAGCTGGACACCAAATATAAAGTCATTCTGTTCAGTATGGTTTCAAATCTAACATGGCATAATGTTAAAAGATAATTTTGGTAAATTTTATATAGTTGTAGCATTTCTGGCAGTGATCAATTAACACTTTCTTCCCTTTCATACCCGACAATTGAGGCTTCAATAGAGGATTTTTTTTTTTTTAATTTGGTACTTTTTCATACAGTTGCTTGAAATTTGCAAGTTCCAAATATTTGACACAGCATAGGTTTCTGACATAGAATGAATGTGGTCAAAGAACTGTGGACCAATTCAAAAAGAGGCCCAAAATCCAAAATCTAAATACATGGTTAGAGATTCAACATATGATATTTAAGAACCCAAAGAATTCAAGACTTTGAATTAAACCACATTGAAGTTGGTCAAGAAATAAGCAATTTATACAAAGTATAAGAAAAGTATTGTTTTTGGCTCCTAATTCCTACATGGTTAGGGCCATAACCCCCAAAATTAATCCCAACCTTCCTTTTTTGGTATGGAACCTTGTGATACAATATCATAGAGATCCATAGACTTATACTCGTTATTGTCTGGAAACCAAATGTCTTCAGATGACGATGACAACCTTGCCATACCATTATGGCTGCAAATTTTTGTGGTCTTATAAAAACATGCATAGTCATGCTTTATGTATGATCATGACGTTTAAGTTCTATTATGCAATACAAATACACACAACTTTAATAAATGAATATTTCCAACATTATTGTTGAGAGAAAATGAAAATGTTGGACCACACTTGTAAACTAAGTAACATTAATTGATCAAAATTTGTGTACCTGCAACATACAATTACAGTAAGCATTAGGGATACCAGTTTCTAAACCAGCAAAGTGTGTTTTATTGTAATGTCTGAAGTCAAAGTCTTCTAATCCTAACTTGGAGTATTTCAGGTCTACTTTTTGGTATCTCTTGGGAACAACTACAAATGGATCTTCACCTGAAAATAAAAGGAGATAATGAAATGAGTTTTGCCTAACTATTGCACTACTGAATATAATCTTAATATACATATATGCACAGTTAAATAGTAAAATACAAAATTTTTTTTCTTACTACATTTCAAAATTGATATTTGTATAATACATAAATAAAAGAAGATTGTGTCCATGGAATACAGATGCCCGCTTGTAAATATGCAAGAGTCAATGTACTGATTCAAACTTATTGATGTTTTGTTTTGTTTGAAACTTAACACAGAAACGGCAAATTCAGCAATTTTTCCATTTATGAAGGCTAATCAATTAAAAATATTAATTTTTGAAATATGAATGAAAATTGGCCTATTAGGTTATTAAGTTAATCTACAAAACAAATTTTATAAAGATATTGACTTGAAATTAAGCAGTATTCAAGATTTTAATAAAATAAGATAATATATAGAAGTTGTATTATGTAACATAATAACAGTTACTCTTAATAACAAAAACTTTTATGCAAGGGGAGTTAACTGTTATTGTTCTAAATTGAATATCATGCATTCTTTTTTGTATGCTCATTCAATTATCTCCATAAAAAGCTTCATATATAATTTGCAGTGGATATTTTATAATAAATTTTTATATATTTTTGCCTGCTCTTACTTGTTCTACCATTATATTGTAAAAATTGTTTATTTTGTTTTCCAGTTTTGATAATGACTTAAATATTAAATACATACAACTATAGCCTAAAGGGAAGTAATTTTTCCACCTTCTAAAATAAAATGCTTCGCTGGGGCGCAGCTTGATACGACCGCAGAGGTCGAACCCTGAACAGTTGGGGCAAGTATGGACACAAAATTCAAGCTTGATACAGCTATGACTTTGGATTGTCATTAAATATTTGACACAGCATAGGTTTCTGACACAGGATGAATGTGGTGTAAGAACTGGAAAAAATTTAATTTACCTATTATGGTGGAATATCCATAAACTAAATTGTTTGTTAATTTCAATATATCAAAGAATATGTAGAATTCAATGTTTGATGTAATGTAATAAAGTTGAAATTTGGACCGTTTTTGTTCAATGTGGACCAATTTGGTAACATGTATAAATAATCAAAAATCTAAATACATGGGAGCCCATTTAAATACATCATAAAGGTATTAAAATAGAAAGTGACATCATAGTCATGGCTAAAAATAAACAAAAATCCTTAATCAGCAACATTTAAAGTAATATCTAAAAATGAAATTCCTTTGTAACCATAAAAGCCCATTTAAATACATCATAAAGATATTAAAATAGAAAATGACATCATAGTCATGGCTAAACATAGCAAAAAACCCTTAATCAGCATCATTTAACAGTAATATCTAAAAATGGAAATTACATCATAAAGGTATTAAAATAGAAAATGACATCATAGTCATGGCTAAAAATAAACAAAATCCTTAATCAGCATCAGCAACATTTTATAGTAATATCTAAAAATAAAATTCCTTTGTAACCATAAAAGCCCATTTAAATACATCATAACAGATATTAAAATATAAAATGACATCATAGTCATGGCTAAACATAGCAAAAACTTAATCAGCATCATTTAACAGTAATATCTAAAAATAAAAATTTCTTTGCAACCATAAAAGTAAAATAGAAAATGACATCATAATCATAGCTAAAAATAAACAAAAATTTTTTTTATTGGCAAATTTTAAATGGAGTTTATTATACTAAAACAATAAATTTGCAACCATAAACATGATAAAACCCCATTTAAACACATCATAAAAGTATTAAATAATTCAACTACATCATAAGGCTATAAAAATAGAAAATGACTTCATAGTCAAGGCTAAAGGTAAACAAAAAACCTTCATCAGCAAAATTTTATATTGGCAAATTTCCAATGAAGTTTATTACACTAAAATTGTTGGCAAATTTCCAATGCATTTATTAACAATAAAGTTATTGGCAAATTTCCAATTTACATAATTTAAAAGCAGTGTAGATGAGATATTTAAATGAGTTTGAATTACCAACCTTACACTGCTTTTAAATAATGTTCTTTACTCAATTATTTGTCTATTAAAATGGAAACCCTTGTTTTTTAACCTTTTTTCCCCTTATTCCTTAAACATTAGAGCCATAACCCCCCCCCCCAAAGCCAATTATTACTTTCCAATGTAACTTAAATTTCCAATATACATAATTTTAAATTTCAATTACTCATGATATATAACCGTATCATTATTATTTTCTTTCATATATAAATCTGAAACAACCATCTTTAAATGGAAAATTTTAAAGAAAAAAAAGGAAAAAAAAATCCTACCTCCCACACATTTTTTCAACCCCCTTTTGATTCATCATCCCCCACCTCAATCACAACCTTCAATTTGTGGTATGGTACATTGCAATACAATTTCACAGAGATCCATACACTTGAACACAAGTTTTTGTTGCAAACTAAAAAAATCCTTATTTTTGACCAATATTTGGCCCCTTATTCATAAATGTTTGAGCAATTAACCCCAAAACTCAATTCCTACTTTCTCTTCGTGATAAAAAATAACTAACTTAAAATGAAAATTTTAAACAAAAAAAAAATTACCCCTTTTTTGACCCCGCCCCCCTTATGATTCATCACCCCCAGCCCCCTTTCCCCCCAAACCAAGCTCAATAACAGCCTTGCCTTTGTGGTATGGTACCTTGTAATACAATTTTAGAGAGATCCATACACTTGAACACAAGTTATTGTCTAGAAACTAAAAAATGCTTATTTTAAACCCCTTTTTAGGCCCCTTATTACTAAACATTTTGGGCAATTACCACAACACTCAATTCCAGCTTTCCCTTTGTGAAATGGAACCTTGTAGTAAAATTTCACAAAGATCCATACACTTACACACAAGTTATTGTCATGAAACTAGAAAAATGCTTGTTTTTTGCCCCCTTTTGGCCCCTTATTCCTAAAATTTTGAGGCAATTAACCCCAAAATCAATCCCAGCATTGACCCTTTGTGATATGGAATCTTGTGGTACAATGTCAAAGAGATCCATATGCTAACACACAAGTTATGTCTGGAAGTTACAAAAATGCTTATTTTCGGCCCCTTTTTGGCCCCTAATTCCTTAACTGTTGGTACCATAACCCCCAAAATCAATCCCCACCTTCCTATTGTGGTATTGAACCTTATGGTAAAATTTCATAGAGATCCATTCACTTAAACTAAAGTTAGAGTGCGAAAACCATTGTGTATTCGGACGACGACGACGACGCCAACGTCATACCAATATACGACCTCAAAATTTTTTTGCGGTCGTATAAAAAGTTTGCATCAGTTGGGTCCCGTTTTTTTATGCGAGAAAAAAATTTATATTATTTGTTTTGATATATATATTTCAATATACAGTTCAATCATTCATAGAGGTTGAAGCTGTGTTAAGCAATATTTGCAAAATATCCTATTCTTACATACTTAAGTAAACTAATGACATGCTACAACTAGTCTTTTTAGTGTTTCTTTATAATTTTACTCAACATTTTGCACCTAAAATATCCAGAAATGTAGCTTACTAACCATCTATATGTTCCCCTTTCTAAATTACGCTTTGTCAATGACCTGTTACGCAACCTAATGCAAGAAAGATTATGGTTAGGAATTTGGACAGGTTTAATATCTCCAGTTGTTTTCAGCAGTAGTTGATGTCTATATAAAAGGACATAACTGGAGAATGGTGAAAGTGACACCACCCAAATTCAAATTTGACCTGTGTTATGTGGTAATAACCTTTGTGTATTAGTTACATAACATTTAGTTGAGGCTAACTAAAGTTATGAGAACAGAAACCAATTTCGGGACGTATGGACATACGTACAGACTGCCAAGGGTAAAACTTAATAATAAGAATAAATTGTAAAATTTGTCATTTAAGGGCAATTACTCCTATAAGAATTCGTCTGACAGTTTTGATTTAAATGCACAATGGGAAGATCCATTTTACCCCTATGTTCTATTTTTAGCCATGTCGGCCATGTCAGTTGGCAGGTGTCGGACACATTTTGAAAACTTAATACCCAAATGATGATTGTGGCCAAGTTTGGTAAAATTTGGTCCAGTAGTTTCAGAGGAAACAATTTTGTAAAGTTACTGTACGACGGACGCCAAGTAAAGAGAAAAGGTCATTTGGCCCTTTGTGCAAGGTGAGCTATAAATTATTGGCTTCCACTAAAGCAACGTTTTCTACTCAAGGTCTTTTGGATGGACGTAAGGACAGACAGAATGATGGACAGAGTCAAGCCATTACTGGACCTGCTTTCGCCATAGGCAACACACGTTAAAATTAACTCAATAACAATGCTTTTTACAAAAATAAAAATTAATAAACTGTTAACACAGAGACATGTCTCGCCTTTTAGTTATTTCTACAATGTATCTATAGTCAAATGCAAATGTTGAAATTAAAATAGCAATACTTTGACATGTGAGTTATGCAAAATATTCAAAGTTAATGAACTATGACTGAAGGTACAGGGCCAAACAATTTCCATAGAAATGAGATGTGCCAATGTTAATACAACTGCATACCAATATCATTGACCTACCACTAGTGGTTCTCCATAAACTGAGATAATCACAAACTAATACATGTAAACTAAGCAAAAGTTTCAAAGTCAATAGACCATGACTGATGGGGCGGGACTAAATAATCTCCATAGAAATGAGATGTGCCAATGCAAATACAACTGCATACCAAATATCATTGACCTACCACTAGTGGTTCTCCATAAACTGACCTTATCACAAACTCATACATTGTTCCACCATTGCCTATGCCGCAGCCTGAAATAGCATACCGTTGTCTCGCTTTGTGACTCCATCAAGGCGAGACAAAAAAACAATTTTTTCTAAAAATATCATAAAAAGTTCTTTTTAATTCAAAAAAGATTGTCCTTAGACATAGCACATGTAACAAGCAATTAGATATCTGAATACTGATCATACCTCTACAAATGTGCTCTGCAATTTGAACTTTTTAAATTATCTTAATTGTTCATTAACCATTTTTTTATACATAATTTTAAAGCAGTGTAAGGGAGATAATTTCAATGATGTATTTGATTTATATCCCTTACACTGCTTTAAATTATGTTTTGTACTAAAGTATTTGTCCATTAATGAGGACAACCTTGTTTTCCCCCCTTTTTTGCCCCTTATTCTTAAACGGTTTGAGCAATAACCCCCCCAAAGCAAATCCTAACCATCCCTTTGAGGTATGGAAACTTGTAGTATAATTTCAGAGAGATCCATACACCGTTCCACAGTTATTGTCTGGAAACTAGAAAATGCTTATTTTTGGCCCCTTTTTGGCCCCTAATTCCTTAACTGTTGGTACCATAACCCCCATAATCAATCCCCACCTTCCTTTTGTGGTATTGAACCTTATGGTAAAATTTCATAGAGATCCATTCACTTAAACTAAAGTTAGAGTGCGAAAATTAATGCGTCTTCGGACGACGACGCCGGACGACGACGACGACGCCAACGTCATACCAATATATGACCACAAAAATTTTTTTGCAGTCGTATAAAAATTGAATCGTAATTTCCTGTCGATATGCACATCTACGTAGTATGTCCTTATTATCTGAAAAGGTTTCATGAAATTCTGTTGTGTGGTTTGAGAGGAGTTGCGATGACAAAAGGTTGCAGTAGTATATTGGGCAAATAAGTTTAAAGGGGCGTAACTGCTGGAAAAAAAATTGAATCGTAATTTCCTGTCGATATGCACATCTACGTAGTATGTCCTTATTATCTGAAAAGGTTTCATGAAATTCTGTTGTGTGGTTTGAGAGGAGTTGCGATGACAAACTGTTGCAGTAGTACATTAAAGTAATTAAGTTCAAAGGGTCGTATCTCCTAGAAAAAGAATTGAATCATAATTTCCTGTCCATATGCACAACTACATAGTATGTCCTTATTATCTAAAAAGGTTTCGTGAATTTCTGTTGTGTGGTTTGAGAGGAGTTGCGATGACAAGAAACAGGACTGACGGACTGACGGGTCAAAAACATTATACCCTCCGCAACTCGTTGCGTGGGGTATAATAACAATGAAAATTACAATACTATTAATATCAAATTGTGGTAGTAATTAGATAATTAAAATATTCTCTAAAACAGAAGCACCAATTACATTATAAAAACCGGATTTTTTTCCAGACTTGCATATTTCATAAATTTTGAAACTGCAATCATACAAGCGTATTTGTAATCTTAAATTCATGGAAAATACAAACAATCCATACAAGGACACTGTTGAAACTGAATCATACAAGTGAGAGGTTTAGCTAGCTATAAAACCAGGTTCAATCCACCATTTTCTACATAAGAAAATGCCTGTACCAAGTCAGGAATATGACAGTTGTTATCCATTCGTTTGATTGTTTGTTTTTTTGATTTTGCCATTTGATTTGGGACTTTCCTTTTTGAAATTTCCTCAGAGTTCAGTATTTTTGTGATTTTACTTTTTTCTGTATTTGCTAAATACATTTTTATATAAAAGCTGAAGAACCAGGCCACTAGGATAATTAAGATCAAGCAGTATAGGAAAAACCTCTCATTCTAAAAAACTCAGCTCTTAAAACAAATCTAATTATACCAATCAAATTACACTTACCTCTACCTATTGGAGATTCAGGAACAGATTTCCCTTTCTTGGACCCCTTTTTATCATTCCCAATGTTGTATGGAATTTGATTGACGCCTATTCCACTTCCCTGTGGCAATTTAGCATAGCCAACATTATGTTGCACTTTCATGCTTCTAAGTATCTCATTGTCCACAGGCATAGGTTTCCTAAAAAATTTATACAAAGACCAATTCAGAAATGGTTTTCCATTATTGAAATGCCATTGTTTCAGGTGCTACTTTTTACCCGAGTTTTTTTTTTAAAAACTTTTGCGCACTTTCACTGTGGTTAAAGCAAACCCAAATTGAGCTGTAGAGAAGTATGCAACACTGCACCAGTACTATAAAGATAAAAGGAAAATGTGTCTATGGGCCAAAGATACCCCCGCTTGTAAATATGCACGAGTCAACTTCCACAAAAAGATGCAGGATTCACATAGTTAAGACCGTTTTCTGATTATAAGCATTGTGTATAAGTTTCATAACATTTGGTTGAGGCAAACTAAAGTTAGAGAAAGGAAACGACAGATTTGGCAATTTTCCATTTATAAAGAGGCATAACTCAAGCACGGTAAAAGTGACACCACCCAATTTCAAACTGGGTCTGTGTTTTGTGTAATTAGCATAGTGTAAAAGTTTTATAACATTTGGTTGAGGCAAACTAAAGTTAGAGAACGGAAACCAATTTTAGGGACGTACGCAATGGACGGGAAAGACGGGACGGAAGGGACGGACAAGGGTAACACTTAATGCCCCCTTTGCTTCGGCAGGGGCATAAAAAACTTATCTTGTATCATCAGCTATGTAAAATAAATGTTTATTTAGTTTAACCTGTAAATTCAGAAACCATTGTGATATTTTTGGAATTGCAAACAATACAACAGAATGAACGCTGCAATAAATAAAACATTTTTGTAGACATGTACAAAATTCCCAATGATCTACCGGTATCTAGTATTATTGTTTTTTTATAATTGAATTTTGCAGTATCTCCAACTCAATGAACATGTTCCAATAAACAGTCTTCAAGAATTTCAAAAATAAAAGAAATATATATTTACCTGTACACATTTTGTGCTAAGTGATCTGGCCAATCAGATAGCATTTTCCCATTTTCTGGGTAACACATAGGAATCACAGAGTAAGGCGTCATCTCATCATTTATGTGCATGAACTGTAATTGTTCTGTCTGTAAATTATAATGTTATCAACGATCTGTAATTAATTTCATCTGATTTTTCTTTTGATTTGATTTTTCTAATGTCTTTTAATATTTTTTTCGATGGATCTGTAACATAACTAACCATATGATCTATACATGTATATAGGTAAGAATAAAATGCTCCACTGGGCGCAGCTTGATACGACCGCAGAGGTCGAACCCTGAACAGTTGGGGCAAGTATGGATACAACATTCAAGCTTGATACAGCTCTGAATTTGGATTGTGATTAAATATTTGACACAGATTAGGTTTCTGACACAGAAAGAATGTGGTCTAAGAACTTCAATTTTTTTAATTTACCTATTATGGTCCAATGTCCAAAATCAAAATACATGTTTAGATTCAGCATGTCAAAGAACCCCATATATTCAATTTTTGTTGAAATCAAAAAAGTTTAATTTTGGACCCCAACTTGGACCAACTTGAAAACTAGGCCCATAATCAAAAATCTAAACACATGTTTAGATTCAGCATATCAAAGAACCCCAAGAATTCAATTTTTGTTATAATCAAACTAAGTTTAATTTTGGACCCTTTGGACATTAATGTAGACCAATTTAAAAAACTGGACCCAAAATTAAAAATCTAAATACATGGTTAGATTTGGAATATCAAAGAACCCCAATAATTCAATTTTTGATGAAATCAAACAAAGTTTAATTTTGGACCCTTTTGACCTCAATATGAACCAATTTGATAGCGGGGCCCACAAATAAAAAATCTAAATACATGGTTAGATTCAGCATATCAAAGAACCCCGTATATTCAATTTTTGTTGAAATCAAAAAAAGTTTAATTTTGGACCCCAACTTGGACCAACTTGAAAACTAGGCCCATATTCAATAAAATGCTTCGCTGGGGCGCAGCTTGATACGACCGCAGAGGTCGAACCCTGAACAGTTGGGGCAAGTATGGACACAACATTCAAGCTTGATACAGCTCTGAATTTGGATTGTTATTAAATATTTGACACAGCATAGGTTTCTGACACAGAAAGAATGTGGTCTAAGAACTTGAATTTTTTTAATTTACCTATTATGGTCCAATGTCCAAAATCAAAATACATGGTTAGATTCAGCATATCAAAGAACCCCATATATTCAATTTTTGTTGAAATCAAACAAAGTTTAATTTTGGACCCCAACTTGGACCAACTTGAAAACTGGGCCCATAATCAAAAATCTAAACACATGTTTAGATTCAGCATATCAAAGAACCCCAAGAATTCAATTTTTGTTAAAATCAAACTAAGTTTAATTTTGGACCCTTTGGACCTCAATGAAGACCAATTTAAAAAACGGGACCCAAATTAAAAATACGGTTAGATTTGGCATATCAAAGAACCCCAATAATTCAATTTTCGATGAAATCAAACAAAGTTTAATTTTGGACTCTTTTGACCTCAATATGAACCAATTTGATAGCAGGGCCTACAAATAAAAAATCTAAATACATGGTTAGATTCAGCATATCAAAGAACCTCATATATTCAATTATTGTTGAAATCAAACAAAGTTTAATTTTGGACCCCAATTTGGACCAACTTGAAAACTGGGCCCATAATCAAAAATCTAAATACATGTTTAGATTCAGCATATCAAAGAACCCCATATATTCAATTTTTTTTGAAATCAAACAAAGTTTAAATACTGGACCCTATCTTGGACCAACTTGAAAACTGGGCCCATAATCAAAAATCTAAACACATGTTTAGATTCAGCAAATCAAAGAACCCCAAGAATTCAATTTTTGTCAAAATCAAACTAAGTTTAATTTTGGACCCTTTGGACCTCAATGTAGACCAATTTAAAAAACAGGACCCAAAATTAAAAACCTAAATACACGGTTAGATTTGGAATATCAAAGAACCCCAATAATTCAATTTTAGATGAAATCAAACAAAGTTTAATTTTGGACCCTTTTGACCTCAATATGAACCAATTAGATAACGGGGTCCACCAATAAAAAATCTAAATACATGGTTAGATTCAGCATATCAAAGAACCCCATATATTCAATTTTTGTTGAAATCAAACAAAGTTTAATTTTGGACCCCAATTTGGACCAACTTGAAAACTGGGCCAAAAATCAAAAATCTAAATACATATTTAGATTCAGCATATCAAAGAACCTCATATATTCAATTTTTGCTAAAATCAAACAAAGTTTAATTTTGGACCCTTTGGACATTACTGTAGACCAATTTGAAAACTGGACCCAAAATTAAAAATCTAAATACACTGTTAGATTCGGCATAACAAATAAATAAATGTGATTAAAGATTTTACAAATCTAATGCGCCATACTGTGCAATTAAAGATTACTTCTTGAAATTTTTCAATATTTGAAATTTGAAAAAAAAATAATATTTGAAGAATAATTCTTTTTAATTTCTGAAATCTGAAATGAGAAAAAATTGGCCCCCCACAATTTCTTTTTATCCCCCCCCCCCCCTTTTTCCCCCCAAAAAAATTCTTTCCCTCAAGATATGGTCATAATCTCAATTCAAATTTCCAATGGAGTTGGCAACCATAATTACCCATTTAAATTTACCATAGTGCTAACTTAATCTATTTTATAATAGAATTAATAAAAATATAGTGTCAAATCTTTCATATGGATTTTTTTGTAAAAAAAAAAGATGAAAACATTTGCAGATATTTTTACTGGTCTTCCTTTATAAATATGCATTTCTTTAAACATAATTTAAAAGCAGTGTAAGGGAAGTAACCAAAACGTTGTATTTGGATTACCTCCCTTACACTGTTTTAGATTATCTTTATTGTTCATTAACCATTACTTTATACATAATTTAAAAGCAGTGTAAGGGAGATAATTTCAATGATGTATTTGATTTATCTCCCTTACACTGCTTTAAATTATGTTTTGTACTAAAGTATTTGTCCATTAACCAGGACAACCTTGTTTTTCCCCCTTTTTTGCCCCTAATTCCTAAACGGTTTGAGCCATAACCCCCCAAAGCAAATCCTAACCATCCCTTTGTGGTATGGAAACTTGTAGTATAATTTCAGAGAGATCCATACACCGTTCCACAGTTATTGTCTGGAAACTAGAAAATGCTCATTTTTGGCCCCTTTTTGGCCCCTAATTCCTTAACTGTTGGTACCATAACCCCCAAAATCAATCCCAACCTTCCTTTTGTGGTATTTAACCTTATGGTCAAATTTCAAAAAGATCCATTCACTTAAACTAAAGTTAGAGTGCGAAAACCAATATGTATTCGGACGACGACGCCGGACGACGACGACGCCAGACGACGACGACGACGCCAACGTCATACCAATATACGACCACAAAATTTTTTTGCGGTCGTATAAAAATCTAAACACATGTTTAGATTCAGCATATCAAAATACCCCAAGAATTCAATTTTTTTAAAAAATCAAACTAAGTTTAATTTTGGACCCTTTGGACCTTAATGTAGACCAATCTTAAAAAACGGGACCCAAAATTAAAAATCTACAAACACGGTTAGATTTGGCATATCAAAGAACCCCAATAATTCAATTTTTTGATGAAATCAAACAAAGTTTAATTTTGGACCCTTTTGACCTCAATATGAACCAATTTGATAGCGGGGCCCACAAATAAAAAATCTAAATACATGGTTAGATTCAGCATATCAAAGAACCCCTTATATTCAATTTTTGTTGAAATCAAATAAAGTTTAATTTTGGACCTCAATTTGGACCAACCTGAAGACTGGGCCAAAAATCTAAAATCTAAATACATGTTTAGATTCAGCATATCAAAGAACCCCATATATTGGACCTTAATGTAGACCAATTTGAAAACTGGACCCAAAGTTAAAAATCTAAATACACAGTTAGATTTGGCATAACAAATAAATAAATGTGGTCAAAGATTTTACAAATCTAATGCGCCATACTGTGCAATTAAAGAATACTTCTTAAAATTTTTCAATATTTGAAATTTGAAAAAAAAATTATATTTGAAGAATAATTCTTTTTAATTTCTGAAATCTGAAATGAGAAAAAATTGACCCCCCACAATTTCTTTTTACCCCCCCCCCCCCCTTTTTCCTCCAAAAAATTCTTTCCCTCAAGATATGGTCATAATCTCAATTCAAATTTCCAATGGAGTTTGCAACCATAAATACCCATTTAAATTTACCATAGTGCTAACTTTATCTATTTTATAATAGAATTTGAAATATAGTGTCAAATCTTTCATATGGATTTTTTTGTAAAAAAAAAAGATGCAACATTTGCAGATATTTTTACTGGTCTTCCTTTATAAATATGCATTTCTTTAAACATAATTTAAAAGCAGTGTAAGGGAAGTAACCAAAACGTTGTATTTGGATTACCTCCCTTACACTGTTTTAAATTATCTTAATTGTTCATTAACCATTACTTTATACATAATTTAAAAGCAGTGTAAGGGAGGTAATTTCAATGATGTATTTGATTTATCTCCCTTAAACTGCTTTAAATTATGTTTTGTACTAAAGTATTTGTCCATTAACCAGGACAACCTTGTTTTTCCCCCTTTTTTGCCCCTAATTCCTAAACGGTTTGAGCCATAACCCCCCAAAGCAAAACCTAACCATCCCTTTGTGGTATGAAAACTTGTAGTATAATTTCAGAGAGATCCATACACCGTTCCACAGTTATTGTCTGGAAACTAGAAAATGCTTATTTTTGGCCCCTTTTTGGCCCCTATTTCCTTAACTGTTGGTACCATAACCCCCAAAATCAATCCCAACCTTCCTTTTGTGGTATTTAACCTTATGGTAAAATTTCAAAGAGATCCATTCACTTAAACTAAAGTTAGAGTGCGAAAACCAATGTGTCTTCGGACGACGACGCCAACGTCATACCAATATACGACCGCAAAATTTTTTTGCGTTCGTATAAAAATGTACTTTAAAATTTCATGTCGAGTGCTCTTTGTTTCAACACTTGCCCAATTGTACCGCGAT